AATGACTTGAAAGATACATCATTTGACTCAGTATTTTGTGCTGATTCCGAATCTATATTTAGTTTCTGACTAAAACTCTTATTTGAATTCAAAAATCGTTGAATATCGACTAAAATGGCTATGGTAGCAGTAAAAACGAGTTTTCTCAACACAGGAAAGAAAAAGAAAAAAAAAAGGATATGTAACTTTGTAACTGATGGTATGACGAATCGAATGAGATAAAATATTCGTCATTCTTATGTAAACAAAAAACCTAGATAGGTTTACAAAATTGACCTATACCTGTAGTGTACTCGACGGGATTTGAAGCACCACCACTAGTATATTTTTGGGGCTAGTGTCAATTTGACAATTTTTTTTATATTCATTTTTTCATGTTGAATCTGAAAAAATTATTCTTAGAAGCTTAAAACAAGAATAAAGTAGAACATTTTCCACATTTTTGAAAATATGTGCTTTTTGAAAAAAAACGATATCCTTCGAGTATTTCGTATTTTTCGATCGGAAGAGAATATTGGCTGAGGCTAAAAAGTAGATATTCATGATTAGCACTTCAAGCTCTATCAAATGATGTAAAAAAAAATGCGAAAAACAATTTTTACTTGAAGTTCGAATTGCTTGCACCTTATTATTAGTTGGGAACGTCCTTTGATATAGAATTGTACCTGTTACTTCAATTTTTTCATTTATATGATGTGTTTATGAATACTCGATCTAAATTAGATTTTACAAGCAACAATTATTTCTGAATTACAATATACATCTTCTCGTCAACAAACAAAAAGTACATTTGTTTCTTCATCTAATCCAGTTACAACTATGGCTACTATAAATTCTATTATTGAATCATATAATAATAGCTCATCACTTACTGCTCAGCTTTATGCTACTATGGCTCGATAACTTATTGGATCGCCTATTTATTTTTGTGGCTTCAAAGATAATGTTCTCGATTAGTTAGGAAAATTAGAACAACGATTTAAAATGGCAAATTGGACTGATGAACATAAATTACGATATATTTCTATACATTTGCAGGATGATGCATACAAATGATGGATTCAAGCATCGAAAACAAATTACATACTGATCTGAATTTGTTAATGACATTAAACAAGCATTTGCATCAACTAAAACGAAAGAATTAGCATTTGAACAATGACAATGGTATAGACAATCAGTCAATCAATCAATTACTCAATATTATAATACAGTTCTAGAATTATATATGAAAATTGATCCGAATATGCCTGATTCAATGAAATTAAACTATTTAATAGCTGGTGTAAAAGAATCATTGAAATCACATATTGCTTTACATGATTCATAAACAAGTGAGCCATTTTTAGTGTACTCAAAAAGTGAGTACACTACTAGAATCGGTCAGTGTGTCGGGCCGTCCGACCGTCCGTTTACACGATAACTTTTGAAAGGAGAGTCAGATCGCGATGAAATTTTCTACACAGTTCAGTCTTAACAAGATCTCGGTCGAATTTGAAGATGAGAAGGATTGGCAGAACTCTTCGTCAGTTATTGCAAAAATACTCATTTTTCCCTATACCTTTCCTATGGAAACATCGACCCTTTCCCGCTTTCGTAAACAACTTTTCCTATCATAGTCAACTAAAACCCCAACTATTATATACCATTCGATAGGGAATTTCAAGAGCTACAAAATGATATATAAAACATAAAGAAGCAAGAAGGTTAACTCACCTATCACAAGAATACTAAAAGAGAACTAGGTTATATTTTGATCCACTATCTAATTGATCCACAAACAGAGCTTTATCTTCCGATCACAGTGATGATACTTCGAGGTTTTCAAAGATGGAGAACTCGAATGTGTACTGCACTTCCATCGAAATACTATTAGTTGTGCAGTGACCAATAGAAATGAAGTTATAGGAAAAACGACTTTCTTATGGTGAATCAAGGGAAAGAGTTCAAACTTGAGCTGTATTCGGTCCCAAGTTCTATTGGCTTGGCAACGCGCAATAGAAATCAACATTTGAAATTGTAGGTTCCCCAGTATAATTTTCATGTTCAGACATTCTAGGATGACTGATCTGTATGATTCACTTTTTGAAGTACACATAACTATCGGATTTAAATCCGAAGTTTCCACATTTATTATTATATGCAAGAAAATTGGAAGATACATTATCATTTACTAACAGTACTTATGAAATTAACCAAAATGATGATCTCCAAAATGTTGCTGCAATACAGTAATTTTCAACTTCGTCACATACTTATTCTCAACAATACAAACTGAACAAAAAGAATTATGTTAAAAATTCACAAGCTCAAACATATCAACCTCATTGTAAGAATATTTTATCTAATAACAAGGCTACTTATTTTATTCAATCGCGTTATGGATCACAAAAATCAACTTCAATTATTTGTTATAATTGTGGTACTCCTGAACATTATTCTTGGAATTGTACCCATCCCCATTTCGAATGAGGGAAGCATTAGTCAATGGTGTTGCTTCCAATATTTTATATAATAATTCATCGATATTTAATACTTCTCTATTATATTTAACAGCTTTAGTAAATAATCAAACCATGAAAGTAATGATTGATATCGGTGCAAATAGAACTTTCATTTTCATTAAAGCTTTCCAATCAACAAATGATAAGCAATTTATTAATAAAATATAACGACGTTTCTTTTTAGTCGATAGTCATACATCTATATTTGTTTATGTTGAAGTTAAATTACATATAACAATGGGTGATATACAAGCTTCAATAGGAGCACTTATTGTTAAACAATTATGTACTAATTGTATATTAGGCATAGATTTTATTAACAAATATAAATTAATTATTAACACAGAAGATCAAACAATATCAATATGTGAGAATGAAAAGCGTACAACATTAAAAATTGATATTAACTCAAATAATGTTCGTTTTCCTACCCGTTTAATCAACAATATTAAAATTTCATCAAAACGAACTATTTCTGTTCATGTATCTATTAATTTGTCATCAGGTAAAGTGTTATTTCGTCCATCTTTCAAGTTACAACAGCGAATGCTATTACTTATATTGAATTCCTTACTAACTGTTCAACATCGTACTTCGTATATTTCACTTCATAATTCAATAGCTCATTCTTATTCATTACCTAGAGGCATTATCTTAGGAACAACTAATATACCCACTTTATCTTTAAAAAAACTTCAACTATTAATCATCCATTAGTAAATGCTCATATTAGTACATTAATTCAACATATTACTAATTCTGAACAAAATGAAAAAGTTAAAATTGTTTTACTTCAAAATACGAAATTATTTGATATCAGTAAACCAACGATTGCTCTTACTTTAAAACCACATGAAATTAAAACACTTGATCATTCACCATCAATATCAAAACCATATTATTCAACTCTACTTAAACAAGATGAAATGTATAAAATTACACAAGAATTGTTATATTTTAGATTAATTTGTTCATAATACTCTCCTTATACAACTCCAGCATTACTGATAGCAAAGCATGATGGTACATGGAGAATGGTAGTTGATTATAAGAAATTAAACAATAATACTATTAAAAACAATCATCAGTTACCTAATATGGAACAAGCAATACAAATACTTGATGGTGGTTATAAATTCTTTTCTAAACTTGATATGAAAAGTGGATTTTGGCAAATTCGAATTAAAGAAGAAGATAAACATAAAACTGCTTTTATTACTTTAGATGGCTTATATGAATGAAATATACTAGCACAAGGATTAAAAAATAGTCCACTATCATTTAAACGTGTCATGACTGATATTTTATCTTCATATCGACAATTATCATTAGTTTATATTAATAATATCGTAGTTTATTCTCGATCATTTGAAGAACATCTCGATCATATTACACAACTATTATTAATTTTATTAATACATATTTTTCAACTTAATCCATCAAAATGTAGTATTTTTTCAACATAGAATTGATTATTTATCTCATAAAATTTCTCAACATGGTTTTAAACCTACTAATGAAAAAATTCAAGCTATTATTAAATTAAGAGAACCAACTACATTAGCAGAAGCGAATAAGTTTCTTGGTGCTCTTTTTTGGTATCATAAATTTATACCACAATTTGCAATAGTTGCAGCACCTATTCATACTATTACCAACTTTAAAAAAACTAAATAGAAAAAAATTTATGTGGGAAGATTCACAAAAACAAGCATTTTTACAATAAAAATAATTATTAGTGAATTTTCCTTTATTTCTTAATTTTTCGAATAATAATTATTCTGTTATATTAACAACTGATGCATCGAAAGTTAGTATTAGTGGAACTTTACAACAAATTACTGATGGTAAAACAAAAAATTTGTATTATCATTCTCAAGTTATATCATCTACTCAGAGAAGATACGATTCAATTGAATTAGAAACTTTAGCTATATGGTTATGTTTTCAACGTATACGATCATATTTACTTGGTAGATCTATTATAATTTATACTTATCATTGTCCTTTATGCAATATGATGAATTCATCTGTAAAGAATCGACGAGTCGATCGTATTTCTATACTATTACAAGAATATCATATTGAAAAAAATTAATCAATGTGAAGCTAGCATAACACGACGAATTACGACGACGGGAGAAAAAAGTTAATTGGTCGAGTGAACGACCAATCAGAAAATTAAAAAAGCCAAAACATCAAATAGGAGGCTCATGATTTCGAAATGGCCGCCATGAGTAACGGGTAACAGTGAGAAGCTAGCACGACCAAAAACAAAGCAACAAATTTTAAAAAAAAGAATTTTTAGACGATACGGTCCGTTGCCCGGATATAAGTTATGCATCATCTTGTAGAGAATTTAATTCTGCATCGCATGATGTATAACCCATATTCAGATTACATTTCCATATATAGGTGATATATGGTCATCTATGAGTGGAATCACAAAAAGAAACGCAAAAAATTTTGAAACATACCAACTTCTGGACGAAACAGTCCATTGTCCAGACGTGAGTTATACATCATTCGATGTAGAATTAAATTCTCTACAAAATGATGTATAACTCATGTAAAGGAAATGCACCTCATCGGCGAGACGTTCGTTTTTTATTTAATTTTTTTCCTTTTTTTTGTGATTCCACTCATAGATGAGCATGTATCATCTATATGGAAATGGAATCTGAATATGAGTTATACATCATTCGATGCAGAATTAAATTCTCTACAACATGATGCATAATTTATATTTTGGCAATCGATCGTATCTTGAAAATGTTGGTTTTTCATTAATTTTTTGTCCTTTTTTTGGGGCTAATTGAATTGATTACTTTTTGTGTGCTGTATAAAGTTTTGGTGATTTTTTTTAAAAGATGATTAGTATTTTTTTGAATGGTTGGAAAAAAGATTTGGTTGCTAAGGAAGTTTGTTGTGGCATTTTATGGACTAGGAATGGTAAATTATACTCGAGCTCTGATTGGTCGAGTTGGAGGCCGATCGTGATTGGTCGTCGTGCTAGCTTCACATCGATGTTCAAAGCTACTAATCTTGTTCTGTCATATATGTACACTAAGTGAGGGAAATTTTACAGATAGCCTAGTCAAAAATTAGTGAGGCTGAGTCTTATTTTCTTTTATATTTTCTCATCGTACTCTTCTAATCTTATATTCTTGACCTGTTCAAGGCAAGAATACAGGTGTTTTTAGCCGTATTAAAGGACTTTAGCTACTTAAAATATCTACACATACGACGACACAAATTCAGCATCTCTACGTGTGTACTACAATAAACAGCACAAGTATATCGTATGTCGTTTATTTGATCGAATCAAGTTTGGTGACCTAGATATTAATTTAAGTGAATATGAAAACATCATTAGCAGTTAATCCGTCATTTATAATCAACTATGTGGTTCTTTTGTCCAGCGAATTTTAAAGTATGTTTGAAATAGAAGCGTCTCGGTGGAAAATTTCCGATTAATAATCGAATTATTGTGAAACAAAATCAAGATTTTAATCGATCTGATAAATTTCTTTTGTTTTTTCGCAAAGAAAATCTACCAAATCGATTAAAATATTGATTGTGTTTCACAATAATCTCATTTCTAATCAAAAATTTTCCACTGAGGTATAACAAAGACAATCATTCCAACTCTTTTCTAACTGTTAAAGACGTCTGCTTCACTTTTCATAATATTGTATGCAGTGACTACTGTTATGAGTCTTCTCCATTCATCTGCTGTAGTTAATGTCGGAGCCACTATTGTTTCCAACATTTCTTCCTCAATTATCATTATCATTATATAGTCTATGCATTTTAACCTCAAGAGGATTGTTTTGTGTGGTTGTACGAAGCAGTCCTACTATTTCTCTTTCGGTGAGGGACACTAAAGATACATGTTATTAACATCAGGCTAGAAGAAAAAATAAATATATTATTGTGATAAACTACAATTATGAAACAGTTGCAATAAGATGACTTGTAACCAGTGAAAAGTTTTCCTAAGAAAATCACGATTATTCTTGATTACCGATGTAAAAATTTCATTTTTTGTACGAATCACCCACTTTTCCAGGGAAATCCGTTTAAAATTTGTAAATTGATTGCAAAAAAATAACATATTCCGTCGATTATTATTGATTATCTTGGTTGTAATCCGAATTTCATCGACAGTCGATTTTAATCTTTTTAATCGATTAATATATTTTAATTAATTTAAGGGAACTCCCCTTTCCGAGGTTTCTTGAGAATGGTTCGGCGAAAATTTTTGAATCTTTCACGGTAAATAAATCTCTCTAATTAGAACAAAACTTGTCATAGACTCAAAACTGCCAAATGCTTTCATTCAGGAGATTTTGGCAGATCAAAGACCAAAAACAATCTGAAGGTTTCCCCCTCGTAAACAGCCACACTACAGTTTTTAGGACTGGAATTTTTTCTGTAGCAGCTAGAAACAAATCTGGGTGTATCTTTTTTTTTTGTTTCTTTGAAAAATATTGTACCTGAGACTCAGGAGAAGTAAAACACTGGAGGCACTATCAAAAAATCATTTAGAAAAGTTTTTTTTCGATGCTACTAATTTTGTAAGAGACAGTCCATGGCACACTCGAGAAATCGCGTCATACGAAAAATTTTGACCTACCTTTTTGTCCATCCCAAACGAAAGAGCATCTAAAGAAACCTATAAATCCAAAGTTTTAGCCTTCTATGGATGACCCTTCAATGGATTTGTGGCAAACATTGAAAGTGTCTCTATAAAGTTCTAAAATAATGATGATACTTTTTTTGTTTACAGTATATCATTATACTTTTCCCTAAAAATTAATCAAATCAAATTGAATCATACTTCAAAAGATAGAGCAAGTTGC